TGGGGTTTTTATTTTTGGTCCTCATTGCCCTGCCCTGCTTCTACAACAGCAGAACACTCAGCCACAGGGTGCTGAAAGGGTTTGGTGGTATCGTAGCATCCCCACATTTTTATGCACCATCTGTAGGAAGAACGAAAGTGTTGAAGGGCAGGTTGGATGGGGCTTGGAGCAACCTGGGCTGGTGGGAGGTGTCCCTGCCCATGAAGGGGGTTGGAACTCAATGATCTTGAAGGTCCCTTCCAACCCAAACCAGTTTGTGATTCAATGAATATACAGGACAAGGAGGACTCGAGGTGTCCCTCGAAGCGGTCGGCCCAGGGGGTGCGTGAGGTTCCTGTGCCCACCTGGGCCTGGATGAGCAGCTGGGTGGGCACTTCTGACAGGTGGGTGTCTTTGCAGAGCCTCAGAGCATGCCCCTGCTGGCCCGCTCCCCCAGCACCAACCGCAAGTACCCCCCCCTGCCTGTGGATAAGCTGGAGGAGGAGATCAACCGCCGCATGGCCGATGACAACAAGCTCTTTCGGGAGGAGTTCAACGTGAGTGCCTTTGCTCCTTGCCCTTGAATCCCACCAGCTGCTCTCAGTGGTGGGCTTACCATGCCCAGCAGGGGAAAATCTGGTCTCCCTTTGTAGAGCAGGGACAAAAAGGCTGGAGCATTCCAGAGGAGCTGCAGTGTGCAGTGGGACCCAGCTGGGGAACGGCACGGCAGCCCAGGGGTAACTGGGGCAATAAAATAGCCCTGCTGGTGCTGGACATGGTCCTTCAGAAGACCTTATCTGGGAGCTTCATAGAGGGAGTGATGGTTTGCCCAGTCCTCAGGAGTTTCTCAAAGGGCTGCAAGGTGGGAGGACTGATTCTGGTCCTAAATCTGCTGTGGAGGTGGGCAAGCCTCTGCTCCTTGTGTTTGCTACAGCAAGGAGAGCTTTGCCAAAGAGCAGTGACATTTTTCTGGGTTTGGGAAGTTTCCCTGATGTCTTCGGGTCTTCCAGAGCTTCCCTGCCTGCTGGTTTCCTCCCAGGCTCTGCCTCTCTTCTCCCATACCTCTTGTCTTAAAACCACAAACAGCCAAAACAAGAGCTCTGAAACAGAAATGACTCCATCTGTTTCAGTGAGCTGTTCACCCTGAAACAGAATGATGACAGTTTGTAGGACAACAACTGGCCTTCAGCAGTCAGGAGCAATTCAGGTGTTGTGCTTATCCCATGATGCTGGAGCATCTCTTCTGAGATGTCTACAACCTCTTCCTGATGTTGCTGTGCTCTGTAACTTCTTGTGACAATGAACCTGTTTCCCCTTGGCAATCCCAAAATAGGCAGAGCAGAAATGAGGGAGGACACAAAGCTCAGTCACTGACTGTGGAGTTAAATAAATATATAACAGCATGTGACACAGGAGCTGCTGAACTACCTGGACTCTCCAGCAGCCTAATTAATGCAAGAAAGTCCACTAGAAATACAGAAGGCCTTAGGTCCAAGGTGTGATGTGGCAGTAAGAGGATGATGAAAAGAGATATATATAAAAAAAAAGTCACACTGAACTTTCTTCAGCTGTTGCACAACTTGATACCCTTCCTGGCAGCACTTTCATGAAACTGAATAGATGCAATGAATGCCTGGAGAGGGGGATTTTTTGGGTTATAAATACCTGATTGCCTTGAAACTTCCGTTGCTGAAACGTGTGTGTCCTGTCAGCTGGAGGAAGGGGCTGCAAATCCCCTCCAGTACCTTCTCATCCTCTTGGAATAGCAGATTCCATATTCCATTGGTGTAAAATAACGGTGCTGGGGAAGCACCTCCTCTGCTCAAGGATGAAACCTGGCTGCTGTGACCAAGACAGCATCTCCTGAGACCCCAGCACCCTCCAACCTGCTGGTCCCTGGTGCTGCTGGGTGGAGAACAACCTCCTGGGGGGCACAGGAGGGTGCATGGGTGCTCCTTCGGCAATGGGGGCTTGTCCCAGGGGGTTTAACCAGGGTAACATCACTGTTAACAGAGGAAATCTGTGCAGGAGCCCCCGTGGGCAGAGTGAGGTCCTCATCCCTGGACTGGTGGGTTTGGTGTCAGAGGCTTTGCTGCCACCTCGTGTTGACAGGTGCTGAGATTCCAAGTATGTTTCAGAAGGGTTTTGCTCTCTCTAGGTCCAGCCCACCTGTTTAAATGGTCACTTAGAGCTTGGTGGGGACAAGGAGCGGTGGTGGGGTGGAGGTGGGTGGTGGGGACACATCTGCAGGGGCAGGAGGATAGGAGGTTGCTGCTCACCTGCCTCCTGAAGGCCAGCAAAGAGTGACCACCCTCCAGTGGGATGCTCGGGTGTAGCATGTGCTGATGTGCCAGCTGTGTTGTGGTTGCTGCTCTACCATAAGAACTTAATGGGAAACCCTCTTCTCTGCCCTTGCAGGCTCTCCCAGCGTGTCCCATACAGGCCACGTGTGAAGCTGCTTCCAAGGAGGAGAACAAAGAGAAGAACAGATATGTGAACATTTTGCCTTGTAGGTATCAGAGCTGCTTGGGTGGGTGGGGGGAAATGGCTGGTGCTGCTGCCAGGGCTCCCCATTCCTGTTTTGGGGATGGGTGGAGACACTGTTGAGGTCATTTTGCATCCTGGATGGGTGGCTGCATCTGCTTTAGCTGCAGATACCTACTAGGAGGAGCTCCCTAGAGTCATCAGCAGCCAGCAGGGCATGGAAAATGAGATGGATGGGAAATTCCAAAATAGCCAGGGCTTGCTGGGTGGTGTGAGGTGTGTGATCTGCAGAAGAGAAGCTTCCTTGGGCAAGGTCTAGCACCTCTTCAGGCTCAACTGAGAAGAATCTGGGGACATAAAGGTGTTTGTGTGGGGGGGAAGGCAATGAGCCTGAACTCTGCTCCAACACCCAGCCTTCTCACTACACCAGTTGTGTGGAGGGGGTTGGTTTTAATGCAGAGTTTTAATTTTCCTCCAGATGATCATTCCAGGGTTCACCTGACTCCTGTTGAGGGAGTTCCTGACTCCGACTACATCAACGCCTCCTTCATTAATGTGAGTGTTGTGATTTGCAGGGGAAATCCCCACCAGCTGTGGTGCCTGATCCCACCAGGACCTTTTCTAGGAGGAGCTCCCTAGAGTCATCAGCAGCCAGCAGGGCATGGAAAATGAGATGGATGGGAAATTCCAAAATAGCCAGGGCTTGCTGGGTGGTGTGAGGTGTGTGATCTGCAGAAGAGAAGCTTCCTTGGGCAAGGTCTAGCACCTCTTCAGGCTCAACTGAGAAGAATTTGGGACATAAAGGTGTTTGTGTGGGGGGGAAGGCAACAAGCCTGGACTCTGCTCCAACACCCAGCTTTCTCACTACACCAGTTGTGTGGAGGGGGTTGGTTTTAATGCAGAGTTTTAATTTTCCTCCAGATGATCATTCCAGGGTTCACCTGACTCCTGTTGAGGGAGTTCCTGACTCCGACTACATCAACGCCTCCTTCATTAATGTGAGTGTTGTGATTTGCAGGGGAAATCCCCACCAGCTGTGGTGCCTGATCCCACCAGGACCTTTTTAGGGTATGACTTGTGCCTGGCAGAGGATGGTTCAGAGACCACCTCCTATGTTCACATCTCCCCAGCTCCTCTGGAGCAATAAATTACTTTGGTTTTTGATCTCATAACCTTTGTGTGGCCATGGTCGAGCTCACCAGGATTTGCTCCATGCCTTGAGCCCAGACAAACATAGTTGGAGTAAGAAGCTAAGAGCTGGGAACTCAAATTCCAGCTGTAGCTCTGCCCTTGCTCAGCTGCTTTGCCATAGTCCCACCTCTCTTTTCCCCACTTCTCAAATAACTGTAGAATCATAGAATGGTTTGGGTTGGAAGAGACCTTAAAGATCATCCAGTTCCAACCTCCCCTGCATGGGCTGGGACACCTCCCACCAAGTGCAAGAAGCACTTGCTCTCCTTGGGGAGCTGGGTAGTTTGGAAGGGATTTGGGAACTGTTCCTGAGGAGCTGGGGATTTGTGATTAGTGGCTGATGAGTGATGTGGTTGGTTAATCATCAGGACTTCCCAGCTGGCAGGCCTGCGTGTGGGAAGGGGATGAAAAAGCAATGAAGGAACCCAGCAAAAATAGAAGCAACATCACCCTGCTCTTCCCCAAGGAGGAGATGGGTCCTGTATGGTTATCACCATAAAGCTCTATTGGATAGGAAGGGTGACATGAAGAAGTGGACTTTGAGAGGGAGGTGGAGGCATGGGATAAAAAGCAAGACCCAAAAGAGCTTTTTTCTTTCTTCAGCAATAAATATCCCTTAGGAAATACACAAATAATCCTCATGTGTTCAAGCCCCATCTCCCAAGGATTAACCTGATGCCCTGGATATAGGGTCTGGTCCCAGCAGAAGGGCTGTCAGGTACCACTTCATTGGTGCTCTGTTCCAACAAGTGGGTGAATTCCCCTCCAGGGCAGGGACCCTTTGCACAGGGATTTTCCATTATTTCCACTCTTTGCTGCTGTGTCTCCCCTCAGAGGCTGCAGCCCCCAGGACAAGTGAGCACCAGAGCAGGTGACAGCTTTGTTTATTAATGAGGTGGATGAATTTCAGATTGTTCAAATGTTGGTCTTTCATTTGTCTTCCTTTTCCTTCTTTTCTCTGCAGGGGTACCAAGAGAAAAACAAGTTCATTGCTGCACAAGGTAAATACTTGGTTGGTCCTGTAGCTCCTTCTGGTGGCACTTGGGCTGGGATCCTTCTGCTCTGCAAGGCTGGACTAGTCTAACCACAGCACAGAATCATAGAATGTTTGGAGTTGGAAGGCACCTTAAAGATCATCTAGTTCCAACCCCCCTGCATGGGCAGGGACACCTCCCACCAGCCCAGGCTGCTCCAAGCCCCATCCAACCTGCCCTTCAACACTGCCAGGGATGGGGCAGCCACAGCTTCCCTGGGCAACCTGGGCCAGTGTCTCACCACCCTCACAGCCAAGAATTTCCACCTGATCTTCAACCTAAATCTCTCTTCTTTCAGCTTAAAACCATTACCACTTGTCCTCTCACTGCTAGCCCCTGTAAAAAGACCCTCCCCAGCTTTCCTGTAGCCCCTTCAGGTACTGGAAGGCCACTATGAGGTCCCCCCAGAGCCTTTTCTTCAGGCTGAACAACCCCAGCTCCCTCAGCCTGTCCTCATAAGAGAGGTGCTCCAGCACTTGGGTCATTTTTGTGGCCCTTCTCTGGACACGTTCCAACAGGTCCACATCTTTCTTGTGCTGGGGACACCAGAGCTGGACACAGTATCTAGGTGAGGTCTCACCAGGGCAGAGTAGAGGGGCAGAATCCCCTCTCTCAACCTGCTGGCCACACTTCTTTTGATGCAGTTGGAATACAGCGCCTTGTGAAGCTTCCCAGGTCAAAAGGAGCTTGGCTGGTCCACAATTTGTTCCCAAAATGGTTTTCCCAGTCAAAGACCAGTGTTGGATGCACTGGGGGAGGAAGAGAAGCCCTATCTGTGCAGTACCAATTCCTGGAGGGTTCCAAAACCTTTCTGCCCTGAGAAATTCAACAAGAGCAAGTGTAGAGTCTTGCATCTGGGGAAGAACAGCCCCATGGACCAGTACAGGTTGGGGACTGAGCTGCTGGAGAGCAGGGTAGGAGAAAGGGACCTGGGGGTCCTGGTGGGCAGGAGGATGAGCATGAGCCAGCAATGTGCCCTTGTGGCCAAGAAGGCCAATGGCATCCTGGGGTATGTTAGAAAGGGGGTGGTTAGTCGGTCAAGAGAGGTTCTCCTCCCCCTCTGTTCTGCCTTGGTGAGGCCACATCTGGAGTATTGTGTCCAGTTCTGGGCCCCTCAGTTCAAGAAGGACAGGGAGCTGCTTGGAAGAGTCCAGGGCAGAGCCTCAGAGATGATGAAGGGAGTGGAACATTTACCTGGTGAGGAAAGGCTGAGGGAGCTGGGTCTGTTGGGCTTGGAGAAAAGGAGACTGAGGGGTGACCTCATCAATGTTTACACATATGTAGAGAGTGAGTGTCAGGAGGACAGAGCCAGGCTTTGTGCAGTGATGTCCAGTGACAGGACAAGGGGCA